ACCTTGTTATGTCTTTCTCTGCAATATTAAAGGCCCGTTAACACCTGCCGTTTTCTCCCTGTGAAGGAGCTCACTATACCAGTCACCTTTTATTCTTCCTTTGGATACTCTAAGCAGACCATGGTCTTTAAATTTGTCAAGGCCAGACGTTTTCTCCAGTCCTTAAATCATTTCTGTGGTTCTTTTCCCTGCCCTAGCCAATTTTTCAACATCCTTTTCAAATGTGGATTCCAGGCCTGGATGCAGTATCCTAAAGTAAAATTACCTCTTCACTCATACTCGGTATTTTCCTGGTTATTTGTTGAAGAAGTACATCAGCACTTTTGGTTACTACGTTGCTCTGACAATTCTTGTTTGACTGTATGTCCACCTGGGCACCTAAATCCTTCTTCTCTCTGCTGTATTTTATACCAACTTTCATGAGATATCTTTAAGTAATTCCAAAACACACGTATCAAAGACCTCAAGCCTTTTGCAACATGTGGAGCAGAGGCCACTTGAAACTGCTCCTCAAGCCCTCAGTTTCCTTCTCCCCAGCCCACTGCAATAACCCTTGCCCTATATTTTAATACTGAATTTAGTGTGTTTGACACAACCCTGGAATGTCCAGTGTATACAGATTTAGGAACTGGAGGATCTGTGAGGAATGAAGTTCAGGACAGCTGGATAAGGAAGATCTGGAGCTGTGAGCACACAGGAACTGTTGAAGTCCATTTTGGGTTTCCGCAGCCTGTGCTCAGCTAAGGCTCGTGGTAACAGGGACAGGGTGTAACTCCTAAATCCCTTCTTCTCTTGGAAAGAAGCAGAAGTTATATTATTTTTATGCAGGAACACACAGTAAATTACCCAAGTTCTACATGGCAAATGTTACAGGGCTGGTGCGTGGCTCTGTCTAGATTTGCAGCAAGAAAACCAAAACAAATCAGCTACTCTGGCTCCTCACTTCACACCCAGGTCCTTGCCCTCTGATCATCCACATGTAACGAAGCCCACCTGCAGTTCTGGAAATAGCCAGGCACCTCTTACTCCCTTTGGGCAACCTGTCCAAGGCTGGTTCTCTCCTTTTTACCCAGAACACTAACCCAAGCCCAGCAGCTGTTGCACCTTCATGTACCTCCACAACACTCGTACCACACCAGCATACACCCTCAATGCCATGCTGAAAAATACCACTCTGGACCACGGTAGGGATCTCAAGTTATTTCAAGCACTTTGAACAGAAAAAATATGATTATGGGTGAGGGTGACAGGAACACTTCTAAAACAAAACCTGGAACCTAGGGAAGACGAGCCCTGGGTGACACATGTGGCCAGGAGCACTCTGTTCTTGAGGGGCCACCCAAGCAAATGTAAGCCTTCTAGTATTGCTGGGGGGGAGAGGCTCATGCAGATGCCTCGAATCATTGGCTATTTAATTTTGGCTGTTTCCAGATAAAAGGTGTTAAGGTGACAAGTAACCATATGCTTTTTTCCGCCCCCTAAATTTCAACTCTGAAGCTTCGTTCTGGTACAAAAGAGTCGCACTGGGGTCAGTCTGGCTCGTTCAGCCTCACTAGTAACTGAGAGCCATGGTCCAACTCTTTCTTTGTTCTTTCTCAGCCCATCCCAGGGGCTGTCACTGAAAAGAAACAGGGATAAGTGAGGAAAGCATCTGGCCAGGCTGTCCATCAGTATCAGTGCTATTGATGATGTATGAGCCAGAGCAAAGTCCAGCTCACACACCCAGAGCTGTGCTGGCTCAGCAAGACTAAAAGGCAAAATTTAAAAAAAAAAAAAAAAAAGAGAAATCTTTATTTTGTCAGGCAGTAGCCGCTCCAGAAATCGGTACGCTTGGAGAGCAGTTTTGGTGAGTTGGGAGATACTCTTCTTACAGCCTTTTCCTATGTAAAATCATAACACAGAACCTGGCTTTGAGCTCCTTGGCATCTATACAGTAAGGCAACATGGTACTGCACCCCCCCGCCTCTTGCAGAGGGATAAAAACCTGATTTAGCCCTGCTTCTAGTCCAAGGAGGCAAAGTATTTCATTCTTGATGTTTTTGCTGATAAGAAATAATGGGAAACACCTTCACTATGAAGTATTTTTTTTCTTCTTTTTTTTTTTTTCCTGATGTCACATAAAAGACCATTTTCAGCCTCAGATCCAAGAGGAGTCTTTTCACATAGGGCATCTTTTTATACCCCCTGCCTGACTTCTTACGTGCAGGAACCACCCTGAGCCAGAGCCTGGGTGAGGTTGGTGCTGAGAAGGAACCAGGGCCTCCCAGGACCCCTCTTATATTGTGCCACAGGGTTCCAAAGCAACGTGGCCTTCCACAGGCTGCCGGTAAGAGCATCAGCAGCCAGCTGACTTTTTCTTCTGGGTCAGCAGCCCAAAACTGGGACACACTGGTCTAAGCCTTCTGTTTTATGATAACTCTGAGCAACACAGCTCTGACATACGCAGCAGTGAGTTTTACGCTAAGCTTTTCAGAAGTGGCACACCAAACTTCACCCCTGGCAAGAAAAAAGGAAAAAGAAGGATGCCGACCACGGCTAAGGCTGAACACACCTCAACACCAGTTAGCAACAGCTTTTTTAGCCATTTAAGTGCAAACACTGAATTATCACTGAAAAGGGCATTTTAGCCAACAAATGCTTCAAAAGGAAAGATATTCTTCTGTACACCTTTTGCTTTTTAAACACAATGTTTCTCTGCATGACTCACTTTGCACTTTGATAGGGATTTATTTTTGTAAATCATGAGATCCAAGCCCACATGGCCCCAAGACTAGCAAGGCTGGGGTACCTGGCCGCATCAACCCTTAGGGAGCAATGATGTGATGCAGCACAGCACCAAGGCTGGTGTGATGGCCCCACCAGGAAAGGTGAGCAGGTCCCCACTCCTGACCAGCTGGAGAAGCCCAAACCCCAGGTGACACTTGGCCTGACCCCTTTTTGCTAGAAGCTGATCCCTTCTGAGGGCTGTGCTGCAGCATTCATCCCATGGTCCTCATGACAACCAAAGGGGAAGGAGATGGCCTCAACTGTCTGAGCTGGAAAACCAAGGGGCAGGTTCTCAGCTGGTGCAAATCAGCATAGCTTCACTGGTGGCCAAGGAGCAATCCCAATTCATCCCAAATGCAATTCTGGCTCAGAAAGGCCAAGAGATGTGTCACAGCCACTCCACTGGTCACTGGGTATATGGAGGCTGGGCATCCTGGCTTCCTGGTCCAACACTACTGCCGACATAGCTGGAAATCACATGCGGCGCTGTCTTGCTCCGATCAGCCGAGCAATGCAGAGGACTGGTCCTCAGAGCCAGTGAAAGGTGTCCCATTCCCCTCAGTGGGTAAAATTCGATGTCTTCTCTTTTCAGCAGCAGCACCTTCAGTTTTTGCTGCCCTTCACCTTTGGCCACTGGAGGATGCCAGCAAGCTCTGCCACCTGGTTGGCCTTATGCAGTTACGTGTGCAGTGGGTGACAGGCAGATATTTGCACACACAGGGGACCAGGGTAAGACCCTTTAGGTACGGTGTGAAGGCCAAGCAAAACCACAACAGTCCTCACAAGGCATGGGATCAGTTCCCTAGACTTTCATCAGAAAAACCTCCCGTGCGCCCGTGAGGGGCTTGTATTGGTAGGTGGAGGCTCTAGTTTTACATATCATCAGAACGCATAGTGACGGCAGCTGCAGAAAAGCCACACGCAATGCAGACATAGCTGGCCAGAGCAGGCACTTCAGCTGGACACCTTCCTTGCAGCCATCAGACACGCCGCTCATATCAAGTACATTTCCATAGCCTTTAACGGAGCCTAACAATTGTGTGGGAGACAAAGGAGAAGGCACAGTGTACAGGAAAAAAAAAAATCCCAAAATGATACCCTTTTATTGGTAAAGCTCTGATGAAACAACTTTCCAAATGACATCCCACTTAAAAACCAATGGAAACCAACCTAACTATGCATTAGTCACACTATACAGATTGCATCCTACATTTTCAAGATGCCTAAATATCTTATGGAGTATTTACATATGTATCAGTTAGGTAGTAAAGTTTCATTGTGATTTGTTTCTTTCCAGCACATACTTATTCAATGGCAAAAAAAAAACTGGGGATGCATTTGCATTTTTGTACAATACTTCCGAGCAAACAGTTAGGGCAATTTTCCTGAGAGAAGGCTTGTTCTTTGAAACTCTTGCTTTAACAACTAGAAATACAGAAGGTGGATGGGGTTTTGTTGCACTAAAAAGCCTAAGGATGCCTAGTTAAGTTTTTCTTTTAAATTATTTACGTACCATTAAGTTAAAATGTTTACATTCATTCATTCGTATAAAAACCATTGTTAAATCTTATGCAAATGATTTAACACTGATTGCTGCAACGCAAATTGCACTTCTTTAAAAAAATTATTGTATATATGGAAGAAAAATATCTGATTGCTACCCTGTTTACAAATTTCGACTGACTCTATACAGTTCAGCCAGAAAATATCAACTTTCATAAACCTCAGTCACAGTGTACTTTAAAAGTTATATCGCAGTCTTGCAAAGTGAGTAAATATTTTCAACGAAAAAAACAACACCACCAAAATCTCCTTAATAAGCTGGACCTTGTGAGACTTGTACCAAATGTTGTGATTTCTTCCAGGGGCATAGCTTGGCTCTGAAGAGAGCAAGGCACGCTGGAGATGGAGGGCGCAGGAGGAAAGAACCTACGGGGTGAAGACATCAAATGTTCGGTGAGAAGCGTCTGCGCCGACTCAAGCAGTACATACTTCTGATGCTCATTACAACGTATCTCACTATCTCTAGTAATTAAAGCCTTTGGTACTCACTCCCCAACACTGATGAGTTCCACCAATTTCTTGGGGGAGGAGGCGATGAGAGTGAAAACAACTATACAATCAGAAAGGCAGCGCTGCTGGGTAAGTCAAGGATGTATTTCTGGAATCTATCAATAGGTCTAGGTTTATCTCTTCTTTTTTTTTTTTCTTTTTTTTTCTTTTTTTTTCTTTTGGAGAGTGTAAGGCTGCATTAGCTATCCCCAGTGGACATTTGCTTTCCCTATATTTTTCTTGCATAGATGAGGAACTGGATGCTTCGGCAGAGCCTCTTTCGGAGGCTGAAAAACACCTCTGCCACCAAGGCACGGAAACAATTTCAGAGGAATGGTCTTTGCCAGCACTCTCGCTTCCACCGCGACCTCTCTGCAGGAGAAACCATGCACGGACGTCTGGGGGATGCCGTGCAGCGCCGGGATCCAGCTTCCCTCATGCCAGGTCACGCCAGAGCCAGGGCACACCAGGGATCTTGTCTCACGGATGCTGTCACTTCAGCCGTAGAGGTCAGGCTGACTCCTGTGTACAGCCCGTCTTGACCTGAATACTTAAGGTTGCTGCTTTCGGGACTGGTGCTCTCTCCTGGGCCAGACATCACCGATGAGCTCGCCTGGAGGTGGGGGAAGAGCAAAGAGACATTTCACTGAGCGGGTGAGCTTTGCACGCACCGAGGTGCAGGTCAGAGCACAGCAGGCTTGGGGTTTGCCCTCTGCTCATCCCATGCCTTAAAATCCTGAAACTGAAAAAATCTGTCATGGTCAGCCCGCTCATTCTTCTGTTTGTGAAGCAGTGACTTTACTATGCTGGCAATGTCTGACATTGGTGATAGCTGCATTTGGAGAGCAGCACGTGGGTATCTTCACAGCAAGGTAGGAAAGAAAGCACGGGAGGTGCAGAAAAGTCTGGAAATCATACCATGATGAAGAGGGTAACGTGCGTGTGTCCCACTGCCCCCTACTGAAGGGACACAGATACCAACACCAGAAATGTGACCCAGGAGTGGTGGCACCTCTAGTTTTGCTTCCCTGGTGGGAGAAGCCAAATACATTCCAATTCTCCAGCAGCGGGTGCAGAGCACCTCCTAGAAATCAGCCTTCTTTGGGTCCCTTAAACCTTGAAATGCCTAAAATCATTCCTCACCCTTCAAAACGCTAGCCACAACCACTTCATCCCCATAAGACCAGCCACTAAAGGAGACGTTCCTTTCATCTCAAGTGGAGAAACAGTATGCCTTTGAACCAGGAGTCTTTTTGTTCCACTATCTACACACACATGACAACACAGAGGGGAGCCCTGGTAGGCACGAAGATGAACCTCTGAACCGCATTGGACCCACTCCATTTATTTTAACAGAGAAATGGAGAGTTACAAAGACAAAGAAACAATCATTTTTTCCATGAGGCTGAGCAGATCCGCTAAAGAGGAAAAAATCACAGTGCCAGACAGAGAAGGGGCAATATTTTCACCTGATAAAGGAAATGTTTAAGAGCTGACTTCATGCAAAATTAACTCTTGGATATGTCAACTTTAAAACCTTAATTTACTTGTTAATGGATAGTCTTCAGATGAAATTCCTTAAAAAGAAAAAAAAAAAAGAAAAAAAAATACTATCCTCAACTGTGACTGCAGAAGCTTCCTGCCCGCTGTTTAAGTGAAAAGTATACATATTTAATCATTTTACAAGAGTAGAGCTCTTGGCTCTCCTGGAGCCGTGCCAAGCTAGCAGTCCTGACACAGGAAAAGCAAGGCTTCATTTATTCAAAGGTAATTTCCAAACAGTGTTGTGCCGGGTTCTTGTTGCCATGCTTAACCCAGGGAAAACCTCACCTTCTGAAAGAGATACTCATCACCAGTGGCCACTTTTTTCTGAAATAACCGTGACTCCAATATTTTCTTTAGCTTTTATTAAAACGGTTGATCGCCACTATTCTTCCACCTAGTCATCAACCGAGACCCTGCTCTGTCAGTTGCTACCCAGAAATGGAAGGAACAACTGCTTGTTGCCCAAAAACAACGAAAATAGCTCTAATCCTAAGAAATATGTTTTATCGCTCTCTCAAATACACAATTGCCAAGCAGTGACAACAAACTGCTCAGAGGATTCAATAAGGCAGGTTTCGCGCTAACTTTTGGGTCCAGTTTTGGTCTTGCATCAGCCTGTTTTTTCAAAAAGGCTTTTTTTATTTCTAATCCATCAAATAGACTCCTGTTAGCACAAAAGACATCATTTTAACAGCTTGAGTCTCCCTGCAGTGGAAGAGGGGTTTAAATTAGAGTTGAGCAGTGTTTGCTCAACCTGAGCTAAAAATACTGGGAGCTCTTTTGAAAGGTTCCCATTTGCCCATATTTGCCACTGTTGTTCCGGTAGGCAAATATCTTATCACTACCTGTTTTTTCCGGGCTTGGAAAGTGTAATTCACCCTTTTCCTGATTCAGCCCTACCTACAAAGGTGGGGCGCGGGGACCCAGTTTCCATGTGGGGTTATCAGCTACCCCTCCCTCGGGCACCCCAGAAGGGAGGATGCGGAGGCACGTCCTGTTTGAAGACTGCCCATCCCTGCCCAACCAAGGCCGGATCCTGGCTCCATTGAGCCAGGACGGGTAGGACCTGGGCAGGACCGCCGGGCCTGGAAACCCCACCCCGGTAATGTCATGACAAATCCAGGCAGCTCGGGCAGCTCCCAAAGTGAGACATGGAAAACAAATTTTAGCTCTTGAAAAGGCTGTGGCTGAATCACGGCTCTGCTCCTGAGCCTGTCTACCTCTGCTCGTACTTTTCCAGCTTTAAGGGATGAAAGATGACAGAAGATAAACTTAGTTATTAGAGGACATTTGTCAGTGGGAATAAATAAGTTGAACAATGCTGCTGAAGTCAACGAGCTCTTCTAATGCACACTGGCTGGCTCTATCAATAAGAAAGTAATGGATTTATTTTTATTGCTGAAATCTGATAATAGGATAGATAATCAACTGAAGCTCAGCTTCCTGAGGAAAAAAATAATGAAGCCCGTTGGGAAGAGCTTGCCTCCCAAACAAACAGAGGAAGGTCATGTTTGTATCTGCAAAGGTTCTTTTTACCCAAACCAGCAGGAGATAGTCATGGGGCAACCTCCAGGAAGGTTGTGTGGATTGGAGGTGGCCTTTCTGTAGAGAACCCACCCACCACGCTCACAGGGAGAACTCAGCCAGAGCCACAAAGGGACTTAGACACCTACATCTTACCCAAACCTGCTGTCAGCACCCTGAAGCCAAATTCACTTACACTAAAGCTGGCCCAGATCAAACCCAGGCTGCTCAGCCTGTGCTGGCCAGCACTTGGGGAACAGCACTGGCATCTCTGGCTGCAGGACTCCTGCTTTCTTCCACCCACTCCTTCCTGCGCCGTCTGCCCACCACAGAGAGCAGGGAGCCTCCCCCCATGCTTCAGCAGCCAAGAGGCAAAAACTCTGGGCAAGGAGATGTGCTAACAGCCAGAGGGGGTGGCAAGCGGCCTTGATCTAGACCTTTACTCTATCAGATAGACCTTTGCTCCAACCACTTCACAGGTTCAAAATGCTCCACGAATTTTGGACATTACACTAGGTCCGTAGTAAGCTGAGTCTCAACCAATACTCTCTTCTTCGCTTAGCACGGTTTAGTTTTGCTACACTTAAATGATAACCGTAGTCAGCTGAAACACACTTGCAAAAACTTCTTTTGCATATAACGTGTTGTGGCAAATTGCAGTGGAGTCCTTAATTTCCCTGCCTCAGCCTCTCTGCAATAACTGCTGTCCCCACCAAGAGCACTTTCTCCGAATACTGTCATTCCCTGGTTTCTGAAGAGCCAGTCTCTGAAGTTTGCTGAAGAGCAAACTGCAAAACCACAGGGGTTCTTTTCTGATTTAGTGACCCTCTTACTATGCAAAGTTGTCATTTCTTTCTAGTCCAACTGATCCTTTTGTTTATATTGCAGATGTGTAAGTTTACGTATCTTCTAATCTCTCCTTTGTATTATAGTAACATAAATCTGTGCTTAATACTTCATTAATTTCCTAAGGGAGGCAACTTCCAGCGTGGCTTGGGAAAGCTGATGACCCCTCTGCTGTCGAGGGCTGTATGAGTAATTGGCTTTATTGCTTTGGCAATAAAACAAAACCAAGCAAAATATATGTGTCCATATACATATAGAAGTTTTGGGTAGAACCAAAAATACTCTTTTTCCTTGTTTTTTCCCACTGAAACAAAAAAGCTGGATTGCCTTGTTCTGTTTGATACAGAATGAAACACTTTCTTTTGGATATACATACACGGAGCAAAGAAAATGAATGACTGAATTTACAAAGTTGAGAGGGGAGGAGAAAGCAGTGTCCTGTTTTGTCCAGGAGTGAGGACTAACGCAGAAGAGGTAGGAAACTAAGAGAAGATTTAAACTGGAATATCGGATCTCCCAGCATAATGCCCTGACTACCAGACTATTTGGTATTTTAGGTTCCCATGTTCCTCATGCCTCCTGTTGATCTTATTCCACCTGGTTTAGATAAATATTTACTCATACCAGGACTGAGGCACCGTGTTCCCCTTTTCCAGGTGAAAGTCCTACCAACAGTGCTGGTGAGTCTTTCTCGTGGAAACTCTGTCCCGACAGCTACAGAATTATTCTATACCGACTAAAATCTTATCATCGGATAGTCTGAAGGACCCTCGGCCGTTCAACTTTCCAACATCCAGGCGGTTAGGAGATTTTTTTTTTAAGAGGTTGAGTCTCTGGTTTCATCCAGACTCTGGGAGATACTGCACAGAGGCTGATTCCCTGTTGCCAGCATGAATGTCCTACCGATCTGCTGCCTAAAAAGGAGTGAAGAACACCACCTCTAACCATCTTACGAACCCTCATCTGAAAACAAAACAAAGCAAATGCAGGAGAAGCTATTCAGCAAATTCAGCCCAGGTTGTCAGGCATTTTGGGGACAGTTAGAACTGCATTCTCCTGCTAGCTCACCACTTTCCAAAGCCATTTCAGTCAGGTCTCCCACTTTCTAGCCTACAACCCTGAAGAGCCAGTCCTGAACCACTTCTCAAGGTCAATCTCCAAGGGAAGTAACTGCTAGTTTGACCTGCAAGACAACTGTCCTAAGTTATTCTATGGTGTATGATGATTACTGTCTTTCTGAGAAAGCTCCAAACTGGAGGCAAAGGGCACAGTACCGTCTTCTGAAAGAGCTCCCCTGGTGCTGCTGAGCCTTTACTGACATCAGCCCTGGCTCATGGAGCCTCCATGTCCTGCCATAAAAAGCAGATTTTACAGCAGTTTTCATACTGCCTTTTATCCTAATAAGGGAATAAAGTCCTTCTGGTAATCACACCAATTGGAGCCCATGTGTGGAAATGGATGGGTGTGCACTAGAGACTGTGCCCTTCGTTTAGCAAATTATTCCGCGTAGCTTTTCTCTGTACAGTTTCAGCGGCATCAAAGGGAGAGCAGGTATAGATGCAGATGCAGGCTGTCTGAAACCTTCAAATCTTCTTTTTATGGGGATGTAAGGCAACTTCATATATCATGCAGCTGGACCTTTTCCATATTAGTAACACAGGACACCCAGTACTTATACTGCTTAGGAAAACAGAAATAGGCCTAAATCCTAGATCCAGATGTGAATTTGGCAAATAGCCCCTTTACAATAGGACAGCGAAATATCTTCCATCCAAACACTTCTACATTTTGGGATGTTTGAAATCAACTTTGCACCCACAGCAATTCATTAATCATATCTTTTAAATGTTTAAACTTCAGCTAGAACATAAAATCAACATTTAAGGTTCTTGCTAATTTGTCTCAAAATTGGCATCATATAAGATTCCCTTCATGAAATGGATAGTCTCAAAGACATTTCCAAGAGTAATTGCCGCCCTTCCCTTTTTCTGCCCTCCCCTCTTTATTTTACTTTAAAAGAGATAAAGAAAGGTAGGGCAAAAAGTGTATATTACTGACACAAATGAATTCTGCTGAATTTCATTTCCATTAGATTTCTACATAACTGGGAACTCTTTTGGCAACCTCCCATAAAAGGCATAATAAATTGCTTTTGTACCAGTAGAGGAATTCATTTTCTCTGTTTCATTTAGCAACAACATTGCTGTGAATTTCAGACAACAGTTTCTAAAATGTCATCAGATTTCTCTGCCTAATGTCAATTTGGCGTTTTTCCCCTCTTCACAGAATAAGGGCTGGAGAAGTAAAAACAGAACAAAACAAAAACAAGTTGCCCTGCTGGTTGTGTAACGTGTGGGGAATGAGCCAGGTTCGCTCTTCCAGCAGGTGCCCGTGTTTCAGCAACGTCACCAGCACCACTGGCAGGAACCAACGCCATTTTCGTTAAAGTGACCAAAGACAACAGAGCCTGGATTCATACTTTTGAGGGTTTTCTCCCTCCTGACATGGCCTGGAGAAGTTTATTCTCCTTGTGCAAAGCCACTGCCTGTTCTAAGAATAAGTACAAACCTTCGGGCTATCGATGGGCCAACTCAAATGAAAAAAAAAAGTCATGGAAAATAGAAGTCTAGTAGAGTATCTTTGCTTTGGCATGTGATCAGATTACAGGCTGCCTTACTCTGAAATCCTAACATCCCTCCACTCCCGACAACTTCAATGGCCCTTACGAGCGCTCAGTCCCTCCCAAGGGATTTAGGCCCACAAACAATGATTTCACTTCCTACATAAGCTGGCGATCATGTTCCCAAAGGATGTCTGGAGCAAAAGGAAAAAATCTTAACAGCCACCTCTTTCTACTTTCATCCTCCAGTCTCCCTGGTCCTCATTCCATTGAATTGCTGATGCTTCGGCAAAAGCAGGCACCCAATGGAAGGATGTGGCCATACCCACGACCTGTCCTGTGTCCTGACAGCAGCTCCCCTACAAACCCCATCTTCATTTACGTACATTTGGGGCTGGGGTGCAGGGGTGGGAGATCACTAGCCCTTCATGTAGGGTGCGGGGGAGTAAAGGGGATGCTCGTATGTCTGGTGGCTGCTGCAGCCTCCCCGCTTCAGCACGTTTCACAGCCTCCCTCCATCGCTTCCTTTCATTGAAATGTTTCATGAGGGGTAATTTGCAAGTGCATATGCAGTGCACATCTGGTCGAATCATGGTGGGGAAAAGCCTGCAGAGATGTTACCGTGCTGCCTGTGGGATACAAGGGGATAGATTTCCCCGGTCCTTATGCACATGTCCTCTCCCAGCCTGATCTACTACAGAAAAATCAGGGAGAACTGAAGTCCTGGCACTGGGGTTTGCCATCACATCATTAAGAGTAGCCTCAGGGTCCCTGGGAGTTACCCTTAGTTGCTAACAGCTCTCAACTAGCCTTTTGGCTCACAAATTGTGCCCCCACCCTGCTCACCTCTGGTACCCACACAACTCCACCTGGCAAAATTATATTACAAATGGTACTATTAAAATTAAAACATAAAGATTATTAACAACAGGTTTGATATGCTTTCCTAGGGAGAAGGGCTACAGAGAGGAAGGCAGGCTTTAGCCAGCCAAGAAGGCAACAGCGTAGGGGAAACAGGATCTCATCTATATGGCCTCTCCTTCCCTGAGCAGTACACAGCTACAGCCTCCACCGCTGCCTCCGCCTCGGCTGGGATTGTGCTTCTAATTCTGTCCATTATGTAAATCTCGTGACGTTCCTCAGGATCTGTAATACTGCTTAAGGCAATGTAAGAAAAATTTAAGGAAAATTTGGCCGCATTTTTCCCATTGCAAATATTAGGGGAGAGCCTACAACAGTGCATAGCAGTTCACTGGGGGTGCCTGAAACCCAGTAACAAATCACTTTTTGGTTAGTGTTTCTCTTTTTTTGATGTGATCTGTTTATTTTATTGGACTGACAGGGTTTTCTCATGTCAAAGACAAGCTCTTTTAGTAATATCCTTGTCTGACAGCATCCGAACCCAAAACCCAGTGCCTCAGAAACTGGGTGGCCCTGTCAGTCCACGAACAATCACATTTGCTAAAAATGGGTTTTTTTTCCTCCCCTTGTACAATGAAACTTTGTACGTCAGGAATTAAACTATTGTAAGGAATTTGGATGTGGGAACGCCGAGACATACTGAAAAATGGTTATTATAAACAATGTCTTCTTTTTATTAATAAAAGAGTAGATTTTAAAAGAGAGAAAGCCACATTAAGAAAGCTTTTCAAAGAAATGATGTGGCAGATTAAAGGATACAGAAGGCCCGAGGAGTGAGTGTGGATATGGATATGTGTAGCCAAGGGGTTAGAAATTAATCTACATTAAGCTTCACAACTTTAGCAGTAGTATTTGTTATCACACATGCTAACTGCGTGAAGAAAGGAAGTTTGAGATTGTTTGAGTACATGACGTAAAATAAGGATCAAAACTAAAGCAGGTGATGATCAGCACTCCTCTGGTGCTCCTCTGGAGCTTGGTGCTGCCAGATGCTGAGCATCTGTCCCCTGAAAAGCCCTCTATGAGGACAGGGATGATCCCCTATGGACTGCAATCCGCAGGGCACCCCAGCCTGGTTTCAGTCGGGTCTGAATCAGGGGTTAAGTGCATGTCTTAGTTTAAAGTAAAAGCCTTTATGTTTCCCTTCTTACAGCAGGATAATATTTTGCTGGAGTTACCAGTCCTTTGGGATTATGCATAAAAATGCATATATAGATATTAAACAGCTTTTGGAAAATGTGAGAGCAGCAGTGCCTTGAAGTAGAAGTTCTTATCAGATCATTTCAGAAAAAAAGGGGTACATGCACAATTATTTCTTGAAAGGATCAGTTGGGCATGATTTATTGTCTTTGCTCCAAAAGAAAACCTTTGAAATGGAAGAACCTGATCATTTCAAAACAAAATGTCTGGGGTTAAGATGTGGTTAACTTAATCATAAAAATTATATAGATCTTAATTAAGAGGTTTGTAAAGTACTTCAGCTTGTCGTTCTGTTTACAGCTATATGTAATATCCTCCGAAAATCTTGTTCTAGTATCAGCTAACAAAACTGGAAAGTTTGTTTAGATTATTGTTCTGCTAGATAAGATAAAAGCTGTGATAACATTGCACAGTGATCAGCCTGCTTACAGATATGGACACCGGCTTATGGCTTACCCCGGAGGCTGCAGTCTGTGTGCTGGGAGAAGCGGTTTTTCTACAGTCATCTGAGTTAGTAGAAGACGTGGATGTTGGAGTCATAGGAACCGCAGTAGTACTGTTACCTGAAAGATCGGGAACTGGTATTAAAACCAAATATTTTCCAGCCGGGGAAAAAAAAAAATCCTCTTGCAGCTCAACTGTCTTATCTTCTTATATTTACCAGAGCATGCCTTTGACTTATTTATGTTCTTAGGTTTTCGCTTCCTGGTCTGAATTCCTTCTTTTTTCATAGCAAGAGGTCGGGGAACCTGAAAAAATTAAATTTCCACACTAGTCACAGAGTTGTGTATGTACTCTAACATCAAACATTAAAATACACTACAAGATCAAACGGTAATGTTGAAGATGCCTGTAGAGCAATTTTTCCTGTGTCACAGTAACAATTCCAAAAAACCCTTTGCATTTTAGTTGGGCAAAGCAATGGGCTGTTTCAAGGGGAGTTTAGCTGAATAAAGAAAGCAGGGAAACTTTGTTCTTGAAGTGAACTGAACAGTTTTTCCAACACCTCAGTCAGTCCACAGATAAACAGCACATGTTTAGGGAAAAACAGTATCATATGGCCATGGGTCATATGAAATTAAATTGGATGGGGTATATCTGATCCCTGATTCCTTATTTCAGTCAGTTAGGAATTATGTCCAGTGGCTGATTCTGGAAAGCAAGAATGCATATGAGGGGAAAAAATACTCATCTTCCTGTGGACCAGCTACGCAAACCAGATCATCACTAGTAAGTGTCTTAGGACAGAAGTTTTAGGCCATAACTGACTTAGTATTTGTTCTTATAAGTAGTCTACCCCTGATACAGCTTTATAGTATACAAATTTATATTTAAAGGGAAAATGTGCTCAAAAATCAGCTTTGTGTTCTGTGTCATCACAACAATAATCATTATACAGAAAACATTGGCTCAAAATGTATTTTAACTTAATGATAACACGAGTTTGGGTAAAAACAATTCAAGCATATGCTTCCTATCATTATAGTGTTTAAAACTGTGATATAATTTACTTTTTTCTCGAGGACTAGACCAAGTCCCAATCACTCCTAATGCCCTCACTCTTCCAGCACTTGTGCTTGACTGTAACTTAAACCGCAGGGGCATAACAGGCTCCAAGTCTCATCCAAAACATATTCCATCACATTCAGGATAGAGCTATTTTCTTCCTCTATTATTGCCTAGCAAAGGCTGAAATGACATTTAAAGTTTTGCTGGCACAGCTATGGCTGTCCATGAAAAAAATGTCTAGGGTTTTTTTTTTTTCCCCCCCACTGAAGAGCTGGTTTAAATCCCAGTGGCAAAAAGATGTCTGCCCCTCATCCAGAGGTGGTTTCTTTGAACAAATCTGTCAGGAAAGCGACATCAGCAAACACATAACTTGTCAAAACCACAACTTGCTAAAATGGTATAACGATTTTCTAATGCTGGGCATTTTTTTGGTCGTTTTGCCCATTTTTTAAGCATTCATGCATTTTTAACTCCGTGGTACAAACCATAAGCCAATACCATTAGCGTCAACAGAAACATTGCCCTGACTTGAGGAAGCCCAATGCCACTCCTCAAAGCCGGCGAGCCCCCGCCGGTGGGAGGACCACCCCTTTCCTCAAGGAACATCAGAGCCAGCCGGGAATCTCCCGGCAGCTTACCCCATGGAGCTTCATGTAGAGGCCGCAGGCGTTGCAGACGGGCTCACCCTCCGCATTCCTGCGCCACAGGGTGGTGGTCGTGGTGTGGCAGCTGGCACAGGACAAGCCCAGCCGCCGGGACGAGGGCTAGAGGTAAGCGTAGGCAAACACAGGCATAAACAGGCAGGCAGGAGCAAATGATTTATGTCTTTACAGTTTATTAAAAGTATTTAAACACGCAGCAGCAACAGTAGGAGGTTTTTTATAGCATCTATCGGTGATGTCCCAGACTTAAACCAAGATTATCCTGGTTTCAGAGCCTGGAAAGCTGACGTGAAGAGGCACTGTGAGTCTGTAACTCCAGGAAGTCACAGCAGAGGCAAAATTTACATTTACCCGGGGACCTCTGTTCAGATCACCGGGCGCTGGCTCTTCCTCCAATGGGACATCTAGAAAACATCTCTCCACTACAGCTCCATCCAGCTGAGGAGAAGGTACATCACTCCTCTGCCACCTCTCCAGCCAATCCAACGCCCTCTCCCCTGTGCGGTGGGCAAAGAGGCGGCTCTGAACCTGCCACCGATACTCCACACTCATCGGAAAAATCAGCCACTTTAATCACCATCCCTCCATGGCACTACAGCTGCAGAAAACAAACTTTCCGGGGAGCCAGAAGGTAACACATACAACAGCAGCATCTTTGTAAAAACATCTTTTTATCATTGCCCATTTTATCCTCGCATGAAAAACAACGTGCCTCGGGAGCATGTTTTACAGAACAGAGCTTCCCCTCGGCCAGCAGAAAAGCTGGTGGGTGACAACAAGGTTCCCACTGCAAACAAGCCATTTATGACACTCTTCCGTGGAGTTTGGAGCCAAGGTGAAGCAACCTTGTATCAGAAATAACCGTATAACCCAGAGCTTTATGACTGCAGGCTGTATATCATAAGTGAAGGCAGTCCTCATAAACATGTGAAATGAAGGTGAATGGGTTATAAAAGTCCCTGTAACAAGTGATCTCTTTTACGTTCATCACAAGCAAAGAATTCCAGCTACATCATAAATCTAGTCTTTTTCAAAGTATCGCATTGTCAAAAAAAATATAAAAAAATCTGTGCCTAGCTCTGTGTCTGGCAGCTGAACAAGTTTACACGGAGAAGTCAGTTTTAGAGGATTGCATTAATCTTATTCTGACTATAAAGGGCCCATAACTGAAATTACTAACTTAAGGGTACAATGCCCTTCCTCTTGAATCATTTACTGCTGGGTTGTTAGACGTAACTCGGTCACCTTTGATACCGCAGAGCTGCCTGCCACTTGGGAAACCAATAAAAATGTTTTGAGAATGAAGAATATTCCAGAGTAATAACTGAGTTTCTTGAATTTTATCTGTTTGAGTTTCTTTAGCAGTAAGCTGTCGTCTTACACCACAGCTCAGAAAGAACTCCAGATTAAATACGAATTTTGTAACTTTGAATCAGTAATCCATTATTAATTGCACAGCGAAAAAAAAAATCCAGCCAAGTGTAATACAGGCTGAAGTACATGCATATACTTTTTAATCTTAAAAATCCAAATCTCATGAAAACAGAATTTTTGACCTTGTTATTAAATATGTATACACACAGCGTCCAAATTGCGCTCCTCAATTCAGCACGAGTTTTACATGGATTGGATAAAAAAAAGCTGGTCTTATACACTTCATTTTCTTTCTTTGCAAGTGAAATGCTGTCAGACATTTCACTCAGTTAAATCTTTCTTTCTTTTGTGTGCAGTCTGGTATAAATCATATATTTTATTTCAATTGCTTTTACTCATTCCTGTATCTAAACAAATGGGGGTGGGGGGTTGGCATGTTTTGAAGCTCAAATGACTTTTCTGCCACAGGAATTTTATCAGAAACTTTGGGGCAATCTAAACATGTTTAGCATTTTCAAAACATTTTCCCTTCTCACCTACATATTTCCAACTGTACGAACACACAGTCATGGTTGATTTATAGTTATGGCCAGGGTACTCAGTAGGGATTGTTACGCAGAGCTATTTCAGAGTTATTTCGCCGAGGTGTTGGGCTGAGATCGGGCTGCAGTTTGACTCTGTTTTAGTCTCCTCACCCCCACCCCTCCTTCACAAAAAAAAAAAAAAAAAGATACACAGAAATGCCAGAGCTGGATATCAGCTACTCGAAACCTGCATTGGGCCAGGGTGCCACAGCCAGTTGAGCTCCGACACTCGAGACAAGCGGCAGATCTGCCCTGTCTGCTGTATTTGTCCCCAGTAATGAGATAACACCTTGTGTCATGACATTTAGTGGATGATCGGCTAGAAAAAAAATGGGCACCCAGCAGTAACTAACCACTGGCTTAAAGTTAAATTAATTCTTTGGCTTAAAGAAAGGTCTTTAAGCAGAGGTGGGGTTGGTTGGTGAGCGCTTACTGTCTGCTCTGATCATTGCACGTTCGGTTTTTGTTCCCCCTCCCCGTGAGGGCATTAAATTCAGATGGTTGTGAAATAAAGAACGGGATGCATTTTAGCGCTAGGAAAACAAGCATGGAGTGAAGCAACTGGCGTGATTGAAAGGGGCTTGAAAGGCTGATGGGTTTGATACACTGTCTCCATACACAAGGGTCCAAACATCAGCTTGGATTATGCCGGTGTGATTTATTGTGGCTCGCTCGGTAACAGCCATTACTGAAGAGCGTATTCTTTCTCTCTCCTGACCTCCACCCAGATTTGCTAAACATAATGTGCAGTTCCCGCTTGTTAAATTTTCTCCTTGCCTATTCAGTGCCAGCCTGAGTTATAAACAGGGGTTCTGGTTTGTACTATTTATTTCCCCCCCTAGTTTTAGGAGTATATTTTTAGAAAAATTGCCGCTCATTTCTTAGGAGTAAAACAAAACAAAGGCTATTATCATTGTTTAAACAATTGGTTTTCTTTGAATTATATACAAAACTTGCTTACATTCCCAAGGATCGAGCTCTCAGCAAACAAAGCAGGTCTGGAGAAATTCCTAGCCCTCTGAACAAACACTTTCCAACCTTGATTTTTTTTTTTTAATTTTTTTTCTGTTGGAAACGTCCAACATCAGCAGCACAAACTTCTCCTAAGCTGCCGATGCCCCCTCACCGACAGGGTCCGTCAACTCAAAAAGGTGCAGGGCTCACTGAGGGGGACAGAGGGCAATTTCGCCAGCCTAGGGCCCAGAGGTGGGCCCTGACACAGCACCCAGAGGGCTGCCAGCCCTGTCACTCCTCATCGTGACCACTTTTGGCCTTCAAACCTGGTCAGGAGCCCCGCTTCGGTTCTGCAGCTGGGGTTGGGAGGGGGAATCACGGGGCTAACACGCTCCGAGTGGGCTCCCACATCCTTGCCCCGGCTTTCCCCCTGGCTAGCGCTGACTGGGGGTCCCACGGGGCGCAGCTCCTCTCCCCACCCTCCCTCCACTCCATCCCCACTCACCACTCTCTTCTGGGGCTTGATGAGGGGCCGGCTGAGGCCGTTCATTTTGGTGTAGAGCCCGCAGGCGTTGCACAGGTAGTTGCCGGTGCCGTCCCTCCTCCACAGCGGGGTCTGGATGGAGCCGCAGTTGACACACTCCCGGCTCTCGGACAGGTCCTCCAGCAGCTCTGGG